TATCTAAAACAATACAGAAAAGAAAACTTTCAAGATGGATATATAATTTTAGGAAAATGATACGTGTCAAAATATGAATGGTTCAAATGAAAATGATGTGGAAAGAGAATTGGAGGAAGGGTTTGAAAGTGAAGACGTTCATTTTCTCTTTTCATGAGTTTGAATATGAGGCAAGGTGAGAGAGAACCCAAGCTTAGAGAAAGAAAGCAAACCCTAGAGTGAGTCCTGCTCCCTCCCACCCAACTAACTCGCCTCTTCCTAGAAACGTGTCGGTGCAAGCGTGGTCCCGGAGTTTTGCGTGACGAAGTGATGTTCGTTCAGGTGACCGATAGCGTTGGAAGCTTTGATTGGAACCACCACTGACAAAGACGCGTTTTGAGCTACCGTTGTTTACGTCTACTCACCCACCCAATCATTGTGGTTTGTCTTCCTTAGAGCGTCGCGGTCCTTTGTCTGTCGGAGTGTTGCCGTCAACGTTTACCCACCCATCTTGCTCCGTGCCACCCATCGAGAGACGTTGATGTTCATTAAAACATGGTCGGACTGTCTTTATTCATTAAATGTTATTTTAGTTTGTTTAAATTTGTTAGGGCATTTATGTGTTGTTGTATTTTTTGGGTATTTTTCAAGGTATGGTTTAGTGTCGGTTGAAGTTGTGTAGAAAACTTAGTGATTGATAACGTTTTTGAGTGAAAAGTATGAAGTTTTTTTCTAATACTTTTAACCATTTACTGATTTAGTTTTTTGGACACAATTATTATGCCATTTTTATATAGAAGATTATTTATTGAAAATAAAAATTTCACTAAAAATTTTCAGTTACATTTTTCAAGGATGATTGTCTGTTGAGATTTATGTAACAAATGCTTTCAATTTATAAAATGTTGATATTTAAAAATATTTTACCCTCATATTTTCACGTGGCTTTTTCACGTGGCTCTGGCTACCCTCATGTTATTCTTAGCTTTTATAAATCAAATTTACATTTTATTTTAATATTCTACATATTAAATAAAAATAAAGAGTGTTTCTATTTTTACATAACATTTGAATACTATATTTAATTTTTAATAAAACATCAAAATAATTAAACAAATTATTACAAGATATAACATTATGAGATGTGAATCACCTATAACTTGTTCTTTAACAAATCAATTGATGTTGTTTTTCTGGTTTATGCATTAGACATTGATTGTAAAATAATATATTCTTTAATAATTCAATATTAATTTTCTTTATTCTTCAAAAGCTAAATATAAGCTTAAGGTTAAACATTTAATGTGTCCTAAAGCAACGGGTATAAATGTATTTATAAATTTAAAAACAATTAATATTCATCCTACTGTTTAAGGATGAAGGGTTTTATAAAGTAAGATGGAAGAAAATTAAAATTTCTTATTTAAATAGGTCTTAAGTCTAATTTGAAGATTTAATTATATTTATCTTAACATTAAGACTCGTTATTCCCTACAAACAAAATATAATTTTATCAAAATATGAAATATATATTAACTATTTTTTTAATAACATTTTTATTAGTTAAAGGTATTTTAGATAGATCAAATTATCCAAATTATACATTCTAGATTCTTCACTTACCTAATTCACCTTGTTAGTAAATGTAACATCCAAAAATACAGTATAAAATCATATCATAGAATACTTACAATTAACAATATTACAGTTCAGTTCTGAAAGAAAAAGGAGATACGTTTATGACCGAACGACCTTACAACAATACTCCAGAATTTAAACTTTACAAATCGAAAGATTAAACCGAACGGTTCCAAAACTATGCTTACATCGAACAATTATACAAAATAAAACTAATTCTAACAACCGAACAGTCCTATGGTTCAACTTTAACGTTCACTTCTTCCAAAGCCTCTTCCAGCTAACACTCGTCCCCTTCTGCTCATATCCACATGATGATCATTGTAACAAGAAGAATAACCGGACAGACAACATGACAAGATAGGAAAGTAGGATAAGCTTATGTAATTTAATTAATCCAATAAAACATATAATTCACTCAGATTTAATAAAATCAATAGGTCAATTATGCAACAACCAATCATACATTTCCAACAATAACCGAACGGTAAAACATGCAATGACCGACCACTTTACTTTGATTGTCCAGACTATATGAATTCTGTGTAGTTACGATGTTTGTGCACTCGGGTGATGTAGTAGCTGGGATGCCCTCAACAGCTGCCACCCGAGGTTAGTCCGTTATACCTCACCCAAGTTCACCTTATGGACTAGGACCTCCTGCCATTCTCACACATGATTTATTCCTCTCTACTTGAGAATGAGTAATCACAGAATATCAGGATAAACGCCAGCTAAGCATAACCACATTCATACTATACCATTCAATAACCAATCCTGAGATATTCCTCCTTGGAATGCTCCTTCATATCCATACTATTCCATTCATATCACACTTTAAATACCATCCTACTTAATCATCAATACAGTCAAACCGAACCACGAAAACAAGATCCCATCTTAGAACATAACTGAAAGAGATAACATCAATCTTAGAAGCAAGACCGAACGAGAGAATACTTTTTAGGCTAACATAACCGAACACTTAGTGTAAGACCAAGCGGTCTTTCACTTATCCACAGAACAGGACCGAACGATCCATACTAGGTAAGACTCATCAGAAGCCGAACACTTATGGTAATACTGAACGTTTACTTGTTACTCAACAGTTATGATCGAACGGTCTTTACTAGACAGAACTCCAAGAATGTACAGAATACTATAAAATACATATAATTAGACCTGACCGAAAATCATGAAAGCTTTTACCAGAGACCTAAGAGTTTAAACCGAATAGTAGAAACTAAGGTCGAACACCTTTGAGCTTGGTCGAACACTCTTAATACCTAATACAGATATATTACAAAATATATTATAAGACCGAGCGCTTAGTTCGAAACCGAGCACTACTAAGACCGAGCGCTTGGTTTAAGCACTCTAAAATTACACAACAGGTATAAGTTAGTTAAAAACACTAACATACGAAAATGCTTATTTATAAAATGGGAAAAAATAATTATAGGATCAAAGACTTAATTATCTGTAGAGTAACCTAACTAGACTGACTATTAAATGAAAATAGAAAACTATTAATTTATCAAACTCTTAAATTTCAATTATACTTAATAGATCACCGATCAGTCATTGACTGAAATTGTCTCTACAAAAGGAGAATCCATTCCAAACTGAATACCCAATAGAAAATCGAACAGTCAAGACTGACTTCCGGAGACAATTACAGAATACTGCAGATTTAAGCTCAGGCGCTATTCATACCCAGTTTGCACCATGTATAAACCATCACTCACATATAGACAATCATACAACAACATTGATAAATCATATAAACCAAATAACTAAACAAAACATCATACAAACATGCCAACATTCAAAACAGAGAATCATAATTAAATTACAAGCTTCCCTTACCTCTAAACTCAGTCGAACGCTCACGGTTGCAGTATATGGCTCACCACTACCAATCTTATACACTTAGAGTTTTCCGATTTACGAAACTAGACCAAATAAAAGACCAAAATTGCTATCAAAATTTCATAGAAGAAGATGATAAACTCATGCAACAAAAAATTTGGCTTGCCTGTGGTAGAAAACAACCGTTCTAAAGAGAGAATGAGTTTACCAGTTTAAACTAACACTTGATCGGTGCAATAGAAAGCTCTTGACACCAGGAGAACTCAGGCGTGGTCTGATTGTTGACCAGAAGAAGAAAATGTGAAAATTCGTAGAGAGAATAATGAGATTTGTAGAGAGAAGAAGGATAAAATGAAGAACTCAAAAGTTTTGGAGGAGAAGGTGCATGCAGGAAAAGTGACACAAAATTCTGAAAATTTAATTCACCATCAAAACCGATCAATCACTCTGCTGCCCACGCCTGTCTTCCACTTTCTGAATTTCAAAAGTCTTTGACACATGTTTCCACTCACTGAATTTTAAGAGTCCTGATAGCACAACTTTTTCATTTAACAATGAATTACTTTAGCTATTTTATTCACATCGCACATTTAACTACTTTATTCACGAACATATCTATTGATTATATAAATCCATCAATCTTATACATATCAAATTATTCAACTTAAAATATAATTATATCAATTAACATATTCAGCATAAATATCACAATTTAAAGTTATTTCAACATAGTATCAACAAAATAACGTTAATTTTCTTCATTTAAGAAAAACGCTCTAATTCAAATGTTGTTAACATATCCTCATGATCATAAACAAACAAAAATTTACTTTAAATTATTTTGAGTGACATACATAAACTAGAAATTACATACACTTAAAACAATACATTAACTAAAAAAACTAAAAACTAAATTAATATATTTTGAATTTTTATCGGTTAATGCATAAAGTTCTCAGCAAAAATCCTCCTATAATATTATATTTGATTTTCAAACAGAGAAAAATGAAGTCAGAAATCTAAAAATAAAATAAAAATAATTTTTTATAAAAAATTGTTTAAGAAAATGATAATTTTATAAAATAAAAGAAATTTTAGTTATGATCTAACATTTTAAACAACAAAATAATTGAGTTTTATTTAAAAATCGATATTACTCTTTTATTATTTTCTTGGTCTTATATTATTTTTTTCGTTTATAATTTTACTCTTGCTATGATCTTTAATCCGTTTATATACATCATACTATGTTATATAAATAAAACACAATAAAAATTACTAAGTAAATTTTTTATTATGTTTCTTTAATTTCCCGACAAAGTAATATATCAGAAATAAATGCACAGGAAAAGAGTAGAAAAACGAAAAGCATATGAATCCATAAACCAAACCTAACCCATCCAAACCCAGCCGAGCCGCAAATGAGCCGAGCCGGTTCAATGATTTAAGTTTGAGATTCCAAACGTGTGCAGCGCACGCCCCTCTATTTATACCCCTCAACCTTCACCCACCGTTTTCTCTCTCACACACCACACTACTGTCTCTCACTTTCTCTCTCACCGCCACCAATCTCACACGCACCACCGTCACCATGGCCGACTCTCGCCGCGCCCGCCGTCAGCCCAGCCGCCTGCAGTCTCACGCTCCCTCATCGCTTCAGATAAACCGCTCCGTCCAGTGGAACGTGGCGATCCCGCTGCTCTCCCCGCTGGCTTCGTCGCCACCGCCGCCCCCTCCTCCGCCGCAGAAGGATGAGCCTCCTCAGCAGCAGCAGCGGCCCCCGGAGAAAATCGTCTTCAAAAAGTGGCAGCATCCCGCAGCTCCGTTCTGCTACGAACCACCCTCGGTGGTTACACCCTTCGTTAACGTGTAAATAATTAAAAAAAAATGATTACGTGATTTAACACGCTTCCATTTTCATTTTCAATTTTTTTTTGTACATGTAAATATAAACCCTCATAATATATTAAGTAATAATAGTATGACCAAGTTTTTTTTTCTTCCTCTGGATTAAATTATGACTTTGTTTATCTTTAATTCCTAATAATCTTCTTCGAGTCTTCTATGTCTCTCTTGTTAAATTATTTATTACAATTTTGACTATAGATTTAGTTTTCATTCATTCTCAATTTGTGAATATAGTTTTTTTTATGTATTTTTTAAAAGCTGTGAAATTGTGGATCGATCTTCAATTATTTAGATATTTTATTTTATGTTTTGATGATTTTTTTGGTTACATTTTAAATAAATATTAGAACTTAAAGTTAAATTAAAACATAAAATATGTAAAAAAAATTAAAGACTAACTTAAATTTGTCGATTTCTTTAGAGAAAAAAAAATAAAGGAAAAATTAAAATGAGTGTTAACCGTAAATTTCATCATTTATGTTTAATTTCTGATTTGCAATATTTCTCTTCGAGATTTTAGTTTTTATAACTTAATCAAAATTGAAACCTCCGTATTTGATCTGCTTTAATTTTAAATTTAACACATTATTAAGAAATGCTTTAACCGATTAAAATGTAAAAATCATAGGTTAGGAAAAATGAAATGAAAATTATAATTTAATGTTAAATAATAGAAGAAATGCAAGAGTGATGATGATGAAGATGAAGATAAATTGGTATTTTATATGTGCAGTGATTGAATTGTTGTGTTGACGAGATGGTTTGAACGTTGAAGGATGACGAAGTTGAATCGTGTTTGGATAAATAGTTGTATATATTTGACATTTGTGGCTCTCATCTTGACACCTCTTCTCTTTTTATATATATATAAACTCTCTTTTTTTTTTCTTTTCCATTCTACTGTATTCATAATTTTCTTTTAAAATAATTTTTTACATTGAAAAAATATGTACAAGAGAAAATACTATATAAATAATTTTTAACTTTGAATCTTATCCATCATAATTTTTTTGTTAAAAAATATCTTGAAATTTTGTTTTAAAGGTGTTTTACCTCAATTCCTAAAAAATGTTAGACTATTAAATACGATAATAATAAAAAAAAAATAAAAATATATAGTCCAATCTTCCTTATTTTGAGTCTCGTCAAACTTATTTCATGCAAGGAAATATGTTTACTTAAATTTTCTACTACTTAGCCTAAAAATGTGACCGAATTATAGGACAATCCTACCATCACCGTAGGGAATGGTGATTTAGGTGTGAAATTTTGGATTACTTTTCATAAGTATCTATATATAATTGTGTAATATATGATAGTATGTTTAGTTTTTCAAGAGAAAACAAAGAGTTTATAAATAATTTCTTACTTATTTTTATTTAAGTAAAATGTTCAAACTAACTTAAAATTCCTAAAGAAAAATGTTAAAAATTTGTTATATCAAGAATATAACTTCTACCAATACACACTTAAAAAGAAAAATAATTTAAAATATTTTTTATAAACTAAAAAATTAAGTTAATGATAGATTAAAAATTATTTAACAAAAACTCTAAAACTTAGTACTTCATAAAAAAATATATTTACTCTTATTGATACTAATGGAAAAACTTGTTTAAAGATGTTTTTTTTTTCATTAAACAAATTTTCAATCTTGAATGTCTCCCTTACCATAATTAATGCCAAGCATACATAACTCAAATTCAATATATGTTACTTAAGTTAAAAAATTTGTACACTAACCATTAATTATCAATGTATAATTTTATATTCAATTTATAATGTGTAGCAATTTTACTAGGATTTTAATTGTGGATTTGCAAACAGATAACACTTTAAGATTTTTTGTTAATTGAAAAGAAGTTTCCTGTATTTATAGGATTAATATGAAACTTGATCTATGTTTTTATTGGAATAATACTTACCTCAAACATATAATAACAATATAATTAATAATAATATAATGATAAATAATAATCATAATACTAAGCTGTTAATTATGATATGGATATGACCTAAATAGATGTAGGTTTTAATCGTTGTTTGACGAAGAGACTTAAAAACTTTTATTAGGTTGTATTTTTTATTGTCTATCTAATTGGATAGAAATATAAAAAAAATTAACAATTTTTCAAATTTATATGAATAATTAATAATGACAATTTATTTGAAGTTGAATTCTGAAACAATATATTGTTTTGAATATACAGAAATTGTTCTGGCAAGTTGCTAATGCATTGTAAAGAAATGGATGGAATTATGAGTTGTCGATGTGAATGCACAATGACACAAAAATAATCTTCTTGTTCTCACAGTTAAGTCATTTTCTGAGTACAAATTATTAGCAGCAGAAAGAGGACCACTTTTTTTCTTGAGAGGCATGCAAACGTAGAAAGACCTATTTAATTTATGTAGCCCTATGAGGCATGTGAAGTTCAGAACAAAACTGATACAAAAGATGTCTATATTACATGTGAAGATATGACACAAGTAGGACAACAACAAATTAATGATGTCTATTACCTATCACTTGCATCTCTGTTATCTTCACATTCTTTTTCATCTTTGTGTTTCTCACTTTCGTAATCAAATTTACACATTAAATTGGTGTGTACTGTATCAATAATACATACTTGCAACAGATAAGTTTTATGATTCTATATTTCAACAAGTGAGATTAAAGACTATTTATGGGGATACAATTATAAATTCTTTTCATATTTTGAAATATAGTATAAAAACTAATTTACAATATCAACATTGTTATCACAAATCTATGTAATTGAATATTGTTCCAACAATATTATATTTTTTATTTATTAAGAAATCGATTTTAAATTTAATTTAATTTTATAAATTTGTTTGCAAGATGGAATTTGCATTTATTTATGTAACATGTTGAAATATATACATCTTGAACATGAAATTAGTTTTTTATGAGTGATTCTATAAAGATATGATAGGATTGACACGGTAGACTTAACAAACAATAAATATCATCATGATAAACTTTTAAATAGTTTTGATACTATATTAAAAAATAGATTTTTTAAGTCTAATTCAATTTTACAAAACCAGTATGTTAAATGAAGTTTGTATTCACTTATATATTTTAAATTTATCTTATCTTTAGTCGATATGAAATCTCTAACATAATCCATCAACCACTTTGGGTTATCCATATTTATTCTAACTATCATTTAAAGTAGTTGTATCTTTTTCACTCAAATCATGATGTGCTGTAAGTAAGCGAGTTTATAACCTATTTTGACAATTGAGTGTAAATATTCGTGTTTTTGGTATCCCAAATACAAAAAGAAGCTTAAGTATTTTATGAAGAAAAATGATGAAAAGAATAGAAGATAATAAGTGATTATTTATGTAGGAAGTTGATGAAAGTGGGTGTGAAGTCAAAGACAAAAAATGGTATAGGCACCAATGTTTGAAGACAGAAGATTGTGGAGATTGATCCCATTTCAATGGCCAAACTTAGAGATTCCAAAAGAAATTAAAGAAGCAAAGGAAATATTCTATGGCTTTCTTTTCTTAGTACGTATTTCTGCATTTTCTTTTCCAAACTATATACTATACATTATGCACATACTAGTGGCTATGATTTTTTCCTCACTTTTAATTTCTGCTTTTGTCGCCACAATTCTCAAATTTTTTATTGGCAAAATAAAAATTGTTAAGCGTAAGTTAAAAAAGGAAGATATATTAAAGGCTTCTAAAATTCTAACTAAACTACTCACATAACAAATTATATATTTTATTATCATATATATAATTATTTTGGAAGCTAATAATATATAAAACCTCAAAATTTAATCATACTACTACGATTATCACTTGTAAGTTACTAAAACATTAATATTTCTCGGTTGATTAACACATGAAATATATAACTCTCCAAACTTAAAAAAGAAAAGAGACACAACCAACTGTAAAGAAAAACAAAAAATTTAATTAGATCAAGATTAGTATTGATCATTTTTATTCCTTACTAATGTAATATAATTTTGGAAAAATAAACGGTCATCCACGAATGTTAGAGAAATAATTCAATATTTATCAGTTGAGAGAAATAAAATTCAAAATAAATAAAAAATAAATTGTTTTAATTTTATTTATTAATATTTTTAAAAAAATACTTTTTATTCTTAGTTCACTATAAAATAATGTCTCTTATCTTAACTAAATTGGTCTTAACCATTTTTATCAGATGATAACATTATTTTGGATCCAATGACTTTTTAAAAATAGTTTAATAATGGCTATATATATTGTTAATATAAAGCTTTTGTCTCATCAAATCAACCAACTTACCATGTATAATTAACTCTAATATAACATTATTTTACACTCTAAATTCTTTTTTTTAATCTAAAAAGTTAATATGTATTCCTTTCTCATAGAAGTTCGCAGAAAAAGTTATCCAACTTAGTAAAAAACCTAATTCAGATTTAACGTTTCCAAATTAATTTCCCTAAATTCTAAATCAAATCAACACTTAATCACGTGAATCAGTAACATTATTCTGTAAGTAATATCAAAATGCTGTTATATATTCGCATAAAAAAAACATTTATTTCAAGGTGTAAGAATTATTAATTCAATTGATAACATAGCTTATTTTGAGTTATATTTCATCAATTCAATTACTCATATTGATAAGATTAATTAGTCTGATGCGTATAAGCTTAAGCAATTAATGTCGTGCTGTAGTTATTTTTGGCTGTTGTTTGGGAAAAGGTTACTTTCCACAGCACAGTGGTATTATTCAAAGTAAAAGGCGTATGAGTGAATGTGCACGTGTGGTGGACAATTGACTTCAAACTTAGGAACATCACATTTGATACCATAAATGTGTTGGACCTACTTGTCGATTGCTTCATGCAACTAAATTTCTCTTTTATTTAAAACATAAATCAATTATTTTTATATATCTCCCATTATTAATAAATTCATGAAATACTTTATAATATAAATGAGTTGGATCCAGACAATTAACAAGTAAGAAGCATATAAGAAAATAAAAGGAAGAAAAGATTAATTGAAATGTGGAAAATTGGTAAAGAAAGAAA